CTAGAAATAAAAACTGACACACTATATACATATGGTCAAACCTTCCTGAAAGAGTATATTATTTTCCATTTCTAGCAGCAAAGTGTATTATTTCCAAAAAGCATTCCAATACAGGGCAGTATCAATATCTTGTTTACGTTTAGCAATTTGATAAGTAAAAAGAAAAACAAAAGTGAATCTTTAATTCCTTTTCCCTTTTTTTTTTTTTTTTTTTTTTTTGTTTTTTTTTTTTTTTTTTTTTTTTTTATTTTTTTGGGTGGTCTTTTTTTTTTTTTTTTTTTTTTTTTTTGAGAGAGGGACCTGGCTCTGTCACCTAGGCTGGAGTACAGCAGAGTGATCATGGCTCACTGCAGCCTTCACCTCCTGGACTCAATCTCTCCTCCCACATCAGCCTCCCAAGTAGCTGGGACTACAGGAGCATGCCACCATGCCCAGCTAATTTTTAAAATATTTTGTAGAGATGGGATCTCACTATGCTGCCCCAGCTGTGTAATTTCATTTCAAAGCCCATATTCTCTCAAATGTAATCATAGTGAATGCACAACAAAACTGATGTTCTGGAATCAATGGTGACCTCCCAGCCAAGAGAGGCAGAAACTGGTAGTCCTGTGAGGCTCCAAGTGGACACTGAGCCATATCCTGAGTGGTGACAGGGGCAGGTGAAGGAAGACACAGTTCCCTGAGCTGACAGACAGGGAGATCAGCTCTCCCAGGGCATCTGACCAGAGGGCCCCAGCCCCAAGATCTATCTGTTCTGTTTGGAATAAATCTCAATTAACTCTCAGCAGTTTATTTAATTTCTATACAGCACAGTATTTACTTTCTATACAGTCGCCCTCAAAGCTGTTCAGCGCCTGAAGGCAGCAAACAATATTTTCTCTGCAACCACATCTGAAGGACCAATTGCCTTCCAGTTTCACACAAAGCTCTCATTAAAAATTCTTGACTAGAACTAGGTACAGTTAGCAATTTCCAGAGAAATCTCTGATGTACATTTCCCTGATAACAAAGAAAGAAAGAAAAAGAAAAGATTTTCTATAAAATTTACTAAAATTGTTAATAAAAACCCTATGAATTTACTGAAAACAATTGAGTGACTAATTCACACCAGGCATTCTGCTGGAGACTTTCACACTGTGTGCTCAGATCTGCTTCTCAGAAACAACTCACAGTTTAGAAAGTATCGTCGTCCTCATTTAGCTGACAATCAAACTGAGCGCCAGAGAGGTTAAATGAGTCTACCAACACCAAAAGGCAACAAGAGGACCATGCTTCAAACCTAGATTAATGAGCTTACACAGGGAAACCCTCAGGCAGCTCTGTTATTCAGAGTTATCAGCAGCATGGTTAAGACCAAAAATAATGCTTATAATTCCTCATTAACTAGCTTGGATCATTGAGGATACTCTGAGTGTAACAAAATCTAAAATAACAAAGACTTTTAAAAAAAACATACATTGGCCAGGCGCGGTGGCTCAAGCCTGTAATCCCAGCACTTTGGGAGGCCGAGGCGGGTGGATCAGGAGGTCAAGAGATCGAGACCATCCTGGTCAACATGGTGAAACCCCGTCTCTACTAAAAATACAAAAAATTAGCTGGGCATGGTGGTGCATGCCTGTAATCCCAGCTACTCAGGAGGCTG